CTGCTAAAGTCTACATTTTAGGGCAAAGAAGGCAGGCTGAAGATTCAATAGCTTCAGGGGTGGGGAGAGCACATTAGAGGCGGCTTCAGGGTTGCAAGAAAAGCCCTAGAAAAGAAGTGGGGCCACAGGGGACTCTTTAGTGTGACAGGAGCCATCAGCAATGTACTGCGGGGTCCTGGGGTTCCCACACCCTTGCCCTTGGTCCTTGTGAGAGGTCCTGAACTGCCCCGTCCCTGTCTTCCCAGTGGTCGGCCGGAGGGGGAGCATGAGGCTAGAGCTCTAGTGGGGGAACTATGCAGTCATGCAGGTGTGTCTGCCTGTGCCTAGAGCTCTATGTTAAAACAAGGGTCGTGCCCTGGTTTGGGGTCCATGGGAGAGAGGACATGGGGACATGGAACAGTTAGTGGATCCCCTGGCTGTGGGGAGGAGTGGCATGTGGGCCAGACATCTGTCATCCACTGTCTAGAGGGATGACTCAGCCCAGCAGTGTTGCCTTTTGGGATCATCTGCTGTGGGGCCCCCCTGTGCATTGCAAAATGTCAAGCGGCACACCTAGCCTCCCACAACAAGTCCCCCACCCCAGCGCGACAGTCTCAAGCACCTGCAGATGTTGCTTCGCGGCCCTGCTTGCTGGGGTGGGTGGGTGGTTGAGAACCGCCATCTGGAGTCCTGAGTCTGCCCTCCTGCCAGGAAGGAGCGCTCTCCCCGTGTCTCCTCCGCGGGAGCCGCTGCTAATGCACATCATTAAATGGGGGAATGACTGCCTCACTTGCTTCTTGCTGCCCTGGAGACAGGCAGAGCCGTCGCCTCCGAGCCATCACGCCTGAGCTCCTTCAGGCTGTACTGGCCCTGTGGGGGCCAGGCTGAGTGCCCGGCAGAGCCAGCAGACCTGGCACCCTCTCCGTGGCGCCCACGGACAGGGGGTAGCAGGCTCAGCCAGCATTTGATCAGGTGCCCAGGGGAGATGTGGGTCTTCGACTCGGGCCAGAATTCAGCACATACAGGCTGAGCAAACACAGGAGATCTGCTACAGGTGCACGTGCGCGCTGGGCTGCTCTCAGCAGTTCCCTCTCACTGTCTCTCTGTCCCTGGTCCCCTGTGGACCATACTGTGCCTGTGTGAGGTGGGACACAGTGAAGTGACTGGGCACGGGGGCAGGTGAACTTGCAGCAGGTTGATTGGGGTCCAAAGTAGCTGAGTCCTTGACTGAGCTTTGCCGCACTCCCTCACCCCACCCTGTGCCCGGAGAGAAGTGGGAGGGCTGCCAGCCGCGCTCGAGGTTGCAGGGACCACCGTCCCTCTGTGTGCCTGGATCTCCGCTTTCCTCCAAGGGACTTTGGCAGGGAGGCCCTGGACAAGCAAGGAAGGTTCTGGCGGGTTGCCCCAGCCACACCTGTCCTAGGAATACAAGCATCATGGGCTGGTTGAAAGGAACCTGGCTGAGGCCCCAGGGACAGCCCAGTGACATGCTTCACTCTGAGTTGGTCAGAGCAGCTAATAAATTTACTTGCCTGGGGTTTCAGAGGCTGCAAAATCGAACTATAAGTCCTAGGAAATACCATTCCACAGCAGGAATTCTTGTCCCCAGCATGACTGGCTCAGGGAGATGACTGTAGGTACCTGTTAAACTCTGGGTTGATGATCCTTGATGAAAACATTAAAGTCATCCAGGCCTTAGGGCTGGAAACATTCAGTTCTTACTGGAAAGCTGCAAGCTGTGTTTCAAGCCTTGAATTTTATCCTCAGCGAATGTAGCATCCGTCCCCTGCATTGTAGCATCTCCAACCCATGCATGTGCACACACAGTGTTATTAATGCAGGGTTGTGCTTGAGGGGGGAATCAGTTTTCATAGCTACACCAAAATCTATCACCGCATATGAGAAAAATCCAATCTGAATAATAATAAAAGGTATAAAAGTATATCCTGCCCTAACTGATGTGGCTCAGTAGATTGAGCGCTGGCCTGTGAACTGAAAGGCCACCGGTTCAATTCCCAGTCAGGGCACAAGCCTGGGTGGCGGGCCAGGTCCCCAGTCGGGGGTGTGCGAGAGGCAACCAGTCGCACATTGATGTTTCTCCCTCCCTTCCCCTCTAAGAATAAATACATTTTTTTTTTAAAAGTGTATCCTAATAGGAAAATTGGGCAAGTTAATGAGAAAATTATAAATTCAAGACAAGCTTCCGTCACTTGTAAGGAACCATTATCATGAGAGAGCTTTAGTGGTCCAGAATTGGGGAGGGGGGGTAGTATGCAACCTTTTGGGGATCTAGGATAGCAGGAGCAAGCAGCCCTGGGCAGCTCCTCCAGACTCTAGGACCCCCTGCAGCACCCTGGGGCGGCGCGGCCTCTGGCTCATGCATGCAGTACCCAGAGAAGAGACCTATCGTCTGCCCTGGCATTCTCAGGGACTGCCCTCATGAACCCCAACCAGCTGCATGCCAGCAGGTCCTCACACCTCTGGGCAGGTGGCCAGACCCCCAGTTTCCCTGACTGTGAGACAGATATTCCTCCCTCCCCGCAGCAGAGGTATGTGGGCGAGGCCCTAGGACAGGCAGGGCTCTGCATATGCAAAGGAATGCACATTATAGAACATTCCATGGGAGAGCAGCTGGGAGGGAGCACAGAGGAGCTTTTGAAGAATGTACTGTCCTAAGTTGGCTCCAAGCACTGCCCCCACCCACCCTGCCTGCTGACCTCCCTGTGACCAGGCAGTCCTGGGACCAGGCCTCCAAGACAGATCATGTGCGGGCGGTTCAAGGGGTGACATGCCAACTACCCTGGAGCCTGTTCTCGTCACAAGATCATGGCCTCGTGGGCAGGGTGAGGGGAGCTTATGGATCCCATGTTCATCTCCCACCTCAGGCAGTAGATCAAAGGCCTGAGCATATACCTACAGGGTTGGAACAAATGAACTCCCGGGACAGAATTCAGTGTCCAGGAGAAGGTGGACCAATAGACGGGACTCCTCCCCCACTGCCGCGTTTGCCTGGGAAATTTGCTGCTGCCTTGAAGTTCAGGCTTCAGTCGGGCAAAGGGACAGGTTTTATGGAAACTTCCCTTTCACAGGTCCCTTTACAAACCTCACATACAGTCACCCTGACCTGTTTCCTGGGTGACTGAAGGTGTCACCTTTGTGGAAGGCATAAGCTCCCTTAGGGACCTTGGGTCCCCCATCGGGTCTCTCATCCCTGTTTCCCCAGGGACCTGCCGCCCCACTGCCAATGATAACACTGACCCATATAGCAGCCCTGGGGCTGCGTCCCAGCTTGGGCCAGTGGGACCTGGACAGCAGCTTCTCAGCAGGTTGGGGGCACAGGCTTTCCCATTTAAAGCCATAGGACTTGGTTGGAAACAGTCCCCAAACTAACGAACAGTCCACACCTGACCAAAAGTTCAACTCACTCCTCTAGTGTCAGGTGGGCAGGAGGGAGCAGGGTACCTCTTTTCCCCGCAGTGCCTTTGCTGTTGTTTGAAGCCCTCTTGGGAGGTGCCTGTTTTGTTCCGCACCCAACCCCAGAGCCAGGAACTAAACACCTGTGGGCCAGGTGACCCTCATCAGTGGAGAGAGGAGGGCCAGCCTGCCTGACTCCTGGCCTGTTGTCTGTCAGCACTGGCTGACGGCTGGCCCCTCCTCACAGAGGGAACCTTTCCAGGCCTACATGTTCCTGGACCATTTGACAGATGGTGTAACTGAGCCTCAGAAAGGGCCAGAAGCTATGCTAGTAGTCAGGGACCTTTCTGAGGCACTCACATTTCACAGTGTCTACTGTACTGGGCTGAATGGTGGCCCCCAAAATACATGTCCACTGGAACCTGTGACTCTGCTTTTATTTGGAAAAAGGGTCTCATATGTAATCAAAGGAAGGATCAAGATGAGACCGTGCCGGATTATGGTGGGCCCTAAATCCAATGAGCGCCCTTATAAGAGACAAGAGGAGACATTGGGAGGAGGCTGTGTGAGGAAAGAGGCAGAAACTTCCTCTTCTGCCTCTTCAGAGGCTGTGTGGAGTGATGCAGCCACAAGCCAAGGACCCCTGGAGCTCCCAGGAGCTGGAAGAGGCAGGGAGGATCCTCCCCAGAGCCTCCAGAGAGAGCGTGGCCCTGTGATACCCGGGTTTCAGCCTTCTGGCCACCAGAACTGGAAGAGAAGCCGCCTCTGTTGTCTGAATCCACAGTCTCTGGTCATCTGTTAATACAGCCCTGGGGCACTCACAGGTGGGCCTCACTGAGCCAGGGTGCACATCAGACGGGCTTGTCTGTCCACACGCTCTGAACCAGTGAGAGTGTGGCACCACGGCATCTGGGGTCCTGCCTGTAGCAGGTAGAAATGGCCGGCAGAGGAGTGGCCTGAGCTCCTGACCCCACTCCCTTGTGTCCAAGAGCTCAGTGAGTTGTTCATCGGGATTAAGGAGCAAGGCTGAAATCCACTGGCCCAGAAGGCGCTCCCATGGCACAGTCCTGGGGCGGAGGACGTCCTGGCGTCGCAGCACCGTCAGCCTGCACCGTCCTCTTGTTCTGCTCGGTCCCTGCCACGTTCCAGGGTCTGAATCATTTTCGTGCCCACCGCAGTTGCGAGGAGGTGGCCTTCAAGGGTTCCATCGCACACACGGGAAGCCTGGCTTTGGTCCCTCAACCTGCAGCTCTCGTCATGGGCTCTGTGGGGTCCATGCTCTGAGGTGACCAGGGCTGATCGGCCCCTCCCTCCTGACGCATCCCTACGTCTGCCTGGGCTGTTGGCACTCAGAATGGCTGAAGGCCACATTCCTCGAGGTCATGGCAGGATCATGCTCACCTTGCCTGAGCTCCGGGCCCCCAGGTAAGTCAGGAATGTGTGCGTCAGTGGCTCGGTAGGGGCATTTAATTTGTCACAGTGGAAAGATTTCACCCCAGTATTTTTGTTTGTTACTGTATTTTGTTCCGTGAACATTGTGGAACTTATCGTATGACCTCTGTGGAGAGCTTTCTAGCCCAACATTTCTGTCTGTTTGGCCTTTGCAGGTGATGTGTCCAATCTGGATCCCAAATTCTCATTTGAAGGCACCAAACTCGATGTAGGAAACATCGTATTGGCATTGTATAGTGGCCTCTTTGCCTACGGGGGATGGTAAGTTCCAGAATGTCTGGGTCTCTGGGCCTTGGGACACACGGAGCAGGCCCTGAGATGTCCAGAAATCTGAATCTCTTGGCCACATGGGAGCCGTTTTAGAGAGTAGCAGGAAAGCCTCTCAGAGCTGCTTTCGCACCACGCATCCCAAAAAGGCACAGAAAGGACCTGTAGCCGCCCTTGGTTCCTTTCTCCACTGCGTCTTGGCTCCTGTGGAAGCGGCCCTCTAGAGAAACCTTTGCTGAGGGGTGTGAAGCACTCGAGCACAAAAGGCTGGGCCTGCTAGTCCTTGGCTTCTTGCCAGCTTTCCCCCGGCTCGCTCTGTCCTGCGGGGTCCCCAGCTGCGGCCCCACTCTCAGGCCAGATTACCCAGGGCTGCGGGAATGGCTGCCATGGGGCAGGCGGCTGGATGGTGAAGGTGCTAGAAGGCAGGTCAGAAAGAGGACAGGACCAGCTGAGGGGGACGGGCCTGCCAGGGTCACGCGTTTCCCAAGGGAGCAGCACTGCGCCCTTACCCCAGCTGCTCACTGAGAGGGGCCCCCGGTGGTGTGTGGGGGTCTCCTCTCCCCTGGCCCAGAGCAGCCAGCAGGGGCTCCCCATCGAACCTGTGTTTCTTGCCCCTAGTGACTGTGGGAGGAATGTATGATTAAACCCTGCTCTCTAAATTCTAGGAACTACTTGAATTTTGTCACAGAGGAAATGATCAACCCTTACAGGTACATGTGTGAACAGAGGCATTTCTTTCTGTTATTTTTAAAAAATTTTATGTATTTATCTTTAGAGAGGGGAAGGGAGAGAGAAAGAGAGGAGAGACAGCAATGTGTAGTTGCCTCTCGTGTGCCCCCTACTGGGGACCTGGCCCCCAACCCAGGAATATACCCTGACTGGGAATCGAACCGGCCGCCCTTTGGTTTGCAATCTGGTGCTCAAGCCACTGAGCCACAGCAACGAGAGCTCTGTTACTTTAATGTGACAGAAAGAAGAAGCCAGCTCTGCCAAAGAACCCATCCTTGGGCCCCAGACTCAGATGAAAGCAGTGCAGGGCCTTTTAGGAGGGAGGGCCTTGGGGTTGGAATCACGCTGGAGTGAAGGGGTGCTGGTTTTTGCTGGCCACACAGTGGCTATGTGGCCTTCAACATTTCCCCTTGGAGTAAACGGGAATGCCTATCTGACAGAAGAGGAGCTGAGGCCGGCGGGGTCAAATCCGTAGCCCAAGTTCATGTAGCTGTCCAGTCCCTGGCGCCAGCTTCCCACTGGTGACCAGCGCTAGTGACCAGTGCTGGTGACAGTCTCCCTGCTCACCACGTTCCCCACACAGCGAGGCTCAGGCCTGGCCCCTGTGTGCTAGAGAGCCACTGGGGCCGGTTCCGTCTGGGGCTGCACGTGGCTGATGTGCCCGTTCATTCCTTTCAGAAACCTGCCCCTGGCCATCATCATCTCCCTTCCCATCGTCACCCTGGTGTACGTGCTGACGAACCTGGCCTACTTCACCACGCTGTCCACCGAGAAGATGCTGACGTCAGAGGCTGTGGCCGTGGTAAGGTGACCAAGGCCGGCCCTGCCGCCTCTGAGCCTGTGATGTGGAGCAGACCAGGCCCTTCATCTGCAAACCGCACTTCTGCGCGGATGGGTTGAGCTGTTCTCTGCTGAGTCCGCCAGAAAGTGTAGGGCACTGGTTCTCAACCCTGGCTGCTGATGCCCAGGCTGCACCCTAGGCCAGTTTTAAGTCAGCATGTCTGCGGTGATCCCGCCATCAGTCATTTTTAAAGTCAAGTACGGAGGGGGTGAGTCCATTACAGTGATTTGGATGGTCCAGTCCCCGCGAGTGAGCTCTGCAACCCAGAGCACAGGGAGGAAAGGCTGGGTGGCCTTCTCCCACCCTCCACTGCCCATTACATCCTGGCCACCTCTGCTGGGCATTCTGGACACAGGGTTCAGAGGAGGGAGAGCAGTGTCCCCAGGCCCTATGGTGGCAGCAGCTGAGCGCCTTGACAGCCTCCCAAAGCCAGCAGAATGGGGCCCGAAGTAGAACAAGCAGGTTTTTGAATGCCCTGCAGGGATCCTGTAGGCTCCCTTCCCACAGTGTCCTCACCAGCACCTTCAGGAGGTGAGGGTCATCACGCACCCATTCCACCTTCTGAATAAATACTCACTGAGCCCTGCTCTGGGCCGGGCGATGGGGACCCAGCCAGAGACAAAGCAGGGCTTCCTTGTGGAGCAGACGTGTGGATGGGGAGAAAGACAGGCACCTGGGCAGCCCGGTGTGAAGCTGGGGTGGGGGTGCCCGAGGACAGTGCCTGCACGCGGGGATATGCGGGGTAATGTGCCAGGGTGCTTCCAAAGAAGTCTCTGTCCCTGGGACAGCCCCCCACAGTGCAGACCCTGAGGAGTCACTCATGGGCAGAATCCTGGTGCGAGGCGTGTGGGGGAGAGGGAGGGGGAGTGGGGCGGCAGACGAGTGGGCCATGGGGACAGCGTGCTGTCCAGGTGGAGCAGTCGGGCTGCGTGCTGGGCATCAATAGGACAGCGGCTCACTCCTGCTCGGCATTTGTCTAGGACTTCGGGAACTACCACCTGGGCGTCATGTCCTGGATCATCCCCGTCTTTGTGGGCCTGTCCTGCTTTGGCTCCGTGAATGGGTCCCTCTTCACGTCCTCCAGGTGAGCCCACCCAGAACCACCCTTCCACATTCGGGCTCCGTGGGAGGTCAGGACAGGACCACAAGGCTGGCTGAGCTGGGGCGGGGGAGGGGCAGTGTTGCAAGCTGCCGTTTAATGTGAGTTTTAAACGTTGTGGGTTTTCTGATGTTGTTGTTATATTGAGTAATACATAGCTGTCAAAACATCCCAGTAACACAGAAATGAAGGGACCGAAACTCTTCCCCTACCCAGAGGTGACACAACTGCTCAACTGCTGTGTCCCTCTAGACTCTTTCATGTGCTCGTGGTGCACCCGGCCCGGGGGAAGGGGGGACTGGAGGTAAGCAAGGCCCCTCAGTTTCCCCATTGCCAGTAGAGTCAGTCAGGGACACCAAGAGGCCCGCGTCCGGGAGCCCATCCCTCGGGCACAGGCACCCCCTACCCCCCGCCCGGCCTGGGTTGCTTGGGGATGAGGCCGACCACCAGTTTTTCTGTTCACAGGCTGTTCTTTGTGGGGTCCAGGGAGGGCCACCTGCCCTCTATACTCTCCATGATCCACCCGCAGCTCCTGACGCCCATGCCTTCCCTCCTGTTCACGGTAAGCCAGCAGCGCCGTCCGATGCCCCCCTTCTCTGGGAGGATTGCAAGCAGGTTGAAGTGCAAGACTGGGGCGTCCCTGGGGGACCGGTCTTCAGGGCCCCCCAGCAGGAGCAGGGGAAGGGGTGAGGCTGCAGGGTCCGCCTGCTGGCACCCTCCCCGCTTCGCCTGGTGTCACCTGGACAGCAGACCAAGGTGGAGACCGAGATGCAGATAAGTTAAGAGTGCTTCCTTGTATGGTGCCCTTCACTGTATGCTTCACTGGACAACAAAGAGCGCGAGATTTATTTTTTTTGTTTTTAATTCCAAAAATAATACACAGTAGTTATAAAAAAAAAAAAAAAGAAAACAACTTCAAACAGTCCAGTGTGTGTGAAGCAGAAGCCCTGTTCCCTGAGGGAACCAGAGTCCGTAGGCGGCTTCACGTGCTCTGTGCCTCCGGAGCTCTGTGGTATGTTAACGGATGGGCGGTGCATGCGCACAGCGTGTGTAGTTTTAGTGAGATCGCATTGTGTGCGTTTTTCTCCAGCTTGCCTTACGTCTCTCCTCAGCAGCACACATGATTTTATTAGTTCTCTATTGCTTTGTGACAAATCACCCAAAACTTAGTGGCCTAAACAGAAAACATTCATCATCTCTCCGTTTCTGTGGGTCAGGAAGTCAGGGCAGCTTAGCTGGGTGGCCCTGGGTCAGGGTCTTTCATGATGTGACAACGAGATGGTGTTCCGGGCTGCCGTCCCATCTGAAGGCTCCTCCCCAGCTGGAGGAGCCACGTCCAGGGTGGCCCCTCACATGGCTGCAGGCAGGAGGCCTCCGCTCTTCAGGATGTGGGCTCCTCCCCAGGCTGTGTGAACATCCCCATGACAGGGCAGCTGACTGGCCCCCAGGGCAAGGGAGCCCAGAAGAATAGCAAGGAGAATGCCACCATGTTTTTATGACCTAGGTTCAGGAGTCACACTTGTCATTTCTGCCTCAGTCTGTTTATTAGGAGGGAGTCAGTCAGTATAGCCCAGCTCACGGAGGGCTAGGCTCCACTTCTTGAAGGGAGAGGTAGGTACCCCATGACCCTGGGCCATGTTCCAAACCACGCAGAGCTCAGCTCAGTTTTGAAACCCTTGTGTGGCATCCAGTGGCCTGGGTGTCTGCGGCCGATTTAAATGAGCCCCGTGATGGGCACTTGGTCGGTTGTCAGTCATCGCTCTTACAAGGAACACGCCACAGTGAGTGTCAGGGTTAGGCATTTGTTCCAGTCCCGTTCACCGTGGGGCCTTTGCTTTCAGAGAACTCGTCTGTTGTTCAAGCTAAGTCTTCCTGTAAAGCAGGGGTGCGCAAGTGCTGTCAGCCGCCCTGCAGACATATCCCAGCATCGGGGCGGCCTCTGTCGTCCGGGCCCGTCCTGTTCGCGGCTCCAGCCCAGTCCTGCGAGGGCTCACACTTCCCTGTCTCTCTGCTTGCAGTGCATCATGACCCTGCTCTATGCCTTCTCCAGTGACATCTTCTCCGTCATCAACTTCTTCAGCTTCTTCAACTGGCTCTGCGTGGCCCTGGCCATCATCGGGATGCTGTGGCTCCGCTACAAGAAGCCCGAGCTGGAGCGGCCCATCAAGGTGAGGGCCCAGCCACTGTGGGCAGCCCAGGCCTGGTGCACACCCAGGGCCGGCTGGGGCTCGGTGTCATGCGCTGAAGAAACAGGGTCCAAATGTCCCTGGGGCCCTGTGTTGGGAGACAGCTCTGCCTAGCGTCTTGGTTCCTCCTCTTCTGGCATGTGCCTGGGCAGCCACCATCCTCCTGTAGAGGGTTCTGGTGAGGATCCACCAACATATACCTGTGAACCTGCTTCTAAACTCAGATGTGGAGGGTAATTCACTCAGTCAGTGATTGTTTATTGGGAGCCTTCTGAGTTTCTTCCAAGAGGGTGACTCCAGGTGCTAGGGTTCATCAAAGGACAAAACAGACTCCCCCAAATCCATGTCCTCCTAGAGCTATATTCTAACAAAAGGGAGAACAATACATAAGAAACCTGTAGTGCCCGCAGAGCAGGCGGTGAGCACTGTGGGGGGCAGGCAGTGGGCAGGCAGAGGGATCCAGCTGGCCTGTGAGCAGCTGACGAGGACGGCTGGTGCTACTGAGAAGCTGGCACGTGGGCAGAGACATGGGGGTCATGTGTGGTCAGGGGGTGCAGCCTCGGGCGCGACGGGGAGACAGTGTGGGGTGCATAGGAGGTGATGCCCCCCACCCACCCCGCAACAGGGCAGCTCTGCCTCAGTGAATAGCGTCCTGGTGTTGGGCGGCCCGCCGTGCCTGCCCTGGCCTCAGCCCGCCTGAGAGAGAGCTGAGGTGCTGGCGGAGCCTGGCCTGAGGCAGTCACAGCTCTCCTCATTGACCCAGCCTGGGGGGCAGCTGCCTGATGGTGACCTTGTTTCTCCAAAAAGAGGGGCCGTGAAGTCCACGCTCCTGCTGGAGAAGTTCAGTGAGCACATCGGCTGTGACTCACTTTGGGAGAGTTAGAAGGAGGAAACTGGTGACCACTGGCTAGCAGCTCTTGTCACTTGTTCAGTTCCTAATGGCATTTGGCTGTCACATCTGGCACCTGCCCACAGGCCACATCCCCTTCTCCCCGCACCCCGCAGTTCCACAGAGGCCAGCAGGGCCCAGTTTCCTGCCTTGAGAAGGCTCTTCTGGGGCGCCAGGGCCACCGTAGTTCTATCTCTTATGTCACCTGGGTACGTGATAGGCTCGGTCCCCTGTCAGCCTGTGCCTGTGGCGGACTCTGTCCTCAGGTTGTGCTCGGCACATGGTGGGCTTTGTTTCGATGTTAACCTGGGCTGGGGAAAGGCATGCAGTGTGGGGCAACCTGGTTGGACCCTCGCTAGCCCTTTGTGTCCTGGGGCCTCTTGCCAGCACATAGACAGATGGCCAAGTCTGCATGCAGACCAGCCCACCCAGAAGCAGAGGCAGGACATACACGGTCTGTGGGCTGGGCAGGGCTGGGCTGGGGCACCTCTGCAGCTGGACTGCTGGCACCTCCGTGGCTGGCCCTGTCTGCCTGTGGCTCCGCGGACTGTAGTCAGCCTGCCCACAAAGGCTCTTTGAGAAGGCGGCTGCCCCTCACTTATTAGTGAGTGGCAGTGGTTTTTCCAGAAGGGCCCCCACCTTGGGTGACTGGTCTAGGGTTTCTGCCCTGTGAATGATGTGGGAACCAGCAAGGTCAACCTCCTCTGACCTTGGGAAGCTTTGAGGGACCAACCTGGTTATTTGCATTCACCGTTGGCACTGTCTGTGCTTTGGATAATTACTGCCTGGCGCCTTGTGCTGAGTAAAGGGAGAACAAGGGAAGGTTTCAGTTCTCTGGAGACCCCGGCCTCTCAGGAGGCCAACTCCGAGGGAACCGGCCTAGGTCCGGCTGGAAGAGGGAGACAGGCACGAGGCACGGCCCTGGGAGGTCAGAGCCCTTCTTGGACCAGGTGGGAGGAATGGGCTTGGAGCTGGGTGCACAGGGTATGCTCTGGGGGGTCCCATGGGAGAGGCGAAGCAGCCCTGAGGGGGGAGATGTCTTCACCAAGGTCAGGAGGGTGGTGGGGCGCAGCACTTTCAGCAGATGGACAGGACTTGTGCTGACAGGACGGGGGAGGTGTGTGGAGTGAGTGATAGATGCCGACTGCCCGCTGCTCCGCCCTCTGTTCCCAGGTGAACCTGGCACTCCCCGTGTTCTTCATCCTGGCCTGCCTCTTCTTGATTGCCGTCTCCTTCTGGAAGACCCCCGTGGAGTGTGGCATCGGCTTTGCCATAATCCTCAGCGGCCTGCCTGTCTACTTTCTTGGAGTTACGTGGAAAAACAAGCCCAAGTGGCTCCTCCAGGGCATTTGTGAGTATCTCCCCAGGGCAGCCTGGCAGCTGGAGCCTCTCTCCATCCCTGCCCGGGGTCCACCAGTGCCCCTCCCTAGAGCAGGCTGTCTGCTGTCCCATCTAATCCCGTAGGGGTTACTGGCACTGACCAAGGGTTCAGGCACTTGATGTGTCTGGAGGTGACGTCTGGCCCACATCTTTCAGGGATAAGACGCTCTGCTTGGCACCAGCTAATCTCAGAACAAAGGATTCCAGAAAACCAGGCTGCTTTTGCCAAGTAACAAAATCCCACTGCCTGTCGCCAGCTTAAACACAGAGGCTGACCTAGAAAGGCAGGGAAAGAGAAAACAGGGTCTCTGCGCTGAGGTCACAGGGTTAATTGACAAGCCAAGTTGAGGGGCCTGTAACTAAAACTCCGAATGCGACCAGCTCCTGGAGAAGTCACTGGTGTTAGCAAGCCTGCACGCCAGTCACCGTGCCCTGGGTGGCTTGGAAAATCCCCAGAATGGCTGTCTTGGAATTCTGATTGGTACCTGCGGGGCAACTAAAGTCATTAGTCATTTCAGTGGACCTTTGCCTCCAGCCCAGACTAGGCTCCCTCTTAATCATCTTGCAGAGCACACCCAGACCCTAAAGCAGGGATGTCTGCCCTGAAATCACCCCCCACAGAGTGTTCACCTGGGCCCTTGCGCATACCCCCCCACCCCACCCCTCTGCAAGACCGCAGGCCTGTGTCTGTCATCCGGCGGTGGGCAGTGACCTTGCTTTTGGTCCTGGGTGTCTGCTAGGCAGGGGCCCAGGTGCAGACAGCTGGGAAGGACCCATCACACAGCCCCCCAGCATCAGGACTCTTATCTCTTTATTTCTCCCATGATCCCAGGGTTCTGAAACAGGGTGAGAGGCAGGGCCAGTGCTCAGCCTGTCGCCAAATTCCTTGGCCACCTGCCCTTGAGGTGACTTCCAGGGTCACTGGGAGAGGCACAGTATTTCTCTGCTGCTAACCTGGAATGCGGGCTGGTGCCTACCGGGAGGGCGGCCCTTGGGCCCAGTGCACACATTTTCAGATCAGGAGGTACCGCATAAAGTTTGGGGTTTCTGGCTTCTCTTGCAACCTTGGAAGTCGTGCCGAGAATCTGGGTGAGCTGCGCCTCACAGCACTCACGGGGGCCCCCTGACTCCCCAGGCCCATGATCGCCTGATACCTGAGTAACTCTGGCCCTCCCCTCCCCTGCAGTTTCCATGACAGTCCTTTGCCAGAAGTTCTTGCAAGTGGTCCCCCAGGAGACGTAAAGGAGAAGAGCTGGGACTTGCAGAGCAGGGCCGGTTTCTGGGCAGACGGAAAATGCACGAAGATCATTTTAAAACAACTCACCAACCTAAAAAGCTACCCGGCCCGTCATCCAGGCAGCTCGGCTGAGTGCCCCGCGTCATCCCTCCACCAGGTCAGGTGCTGGGGCCACTGTGAAAACTGGTACAAATTTATTCCCAGAAGACGAACTTTTATCAATAACTCTTCAAGAGTGCAAGGCACGAATGTGGAACTAAGAAGAGGCTGGGCCTTGTGACCAACCGTGGACTTCTTGCCATGTTGGGCTTCTATCCCTTTCTACCTTTGTTTATTTGAATTTTCTTTTTTAACTTAATTTTTGGGTCAAGTTGACGCCACAATGATGATTATGTTTTAAAGAAATGGGGGCGGGCAGGAGGGGGGAATCTTTTGTCCCTTAACACTACCAGCAGGATGATGTGCCTTCGGGACTGGCTCCTGTTGTGGGGTGTGACAGCTTCAGGCACAGTCTGTGGGAGGAGGGGTTCTGAGGGCTGAACACTACAGCTGCCAATGAGCTACCGACACTTGGCCTTGCCGTGTGGACAGTGGGCTTGCACTGACAGACGCATGTGTTTGGCTTTCCTATTTTTTTTTCTTTTTTGTTAGACGATGTAGTGACATTGGGAAAACTAACCCTGGGTGTCTGTCTCTGCCTTAAAGACCTGAGGTCGATCCATCCCTCTGTAACACCTGGAAAGGAAAGAAAATCTCAGTGAAGTGGCCACCTTTGGAGAGCTCTGCAGGAGAACAAAGGCTGAGTCTGACGCCAGCCCCAGCTCCATAGAAGGAGCCAGTTCTGTGGCTGGTAGAGTTCCTATTTGAGGTCACAGGCATCCGTTTGATCCTGGAGCTCTTCCCAGGACATGCAGAGCAGCTAGACGCTGGTCATTCAGGATGCCATGGAGCTCCTGACTTGGTGCTTCTGCCCTGGATGGCAGCCTGAGCAAAGGCACAAAGGCAGGAGGATGCGGGCTCTCCTGTGGGCGGGCAGTGGGGGCACTCCAGACCTGGCCTGCAGGTAACGCTGCCTCCCGATCTGTGCTGCGTCTGGTTTGGGACTTAACTCTAGTTCTCTCAGACAAAGCTCCAGGCTTGAAATCTAGCAACAGATGCCGAGGCTCTTCATGGGCTTCTCATCCAGGTCTCCCAAGGCAGCCCCTTCCAGGATCCCCAGAATTGGCTTAATGGCTGGATGGCCACTCCAACAGGCTGACTGGGGCTGGCTTCCTGCTCCTGGCCAGGGTACCATCGTCGCCTCCTGCCACCAGCATGGTCTGTCCCGGACTCAATTCCAATCAGCAGAAGACAGAGCCAAGCCTTGCTCTCTGCTCCAACTCTGCACCTGCTCTGGAGGCCACCCTGACTCTCCAGGAGTCTTGACTCCCAGCACAGCACGCCTACCCCCGCTCCCCAGAGAGGCTGCGCTGGCAGGCTTTTGTCCTTGTGGCTCCTGTGGTGTTTTCCCACTGGGGGAAGCTGAAGCCCAGCTAACAGTCAGCCACCAGCTGGCTTTCCCGAGCTGTCACTGTCCAGGAAGCCTTCTTGGGGAGCAACATCGGCTAAGGTCAGGTTGTCCTCCTCTAGGCTCCCGTGTTAGGTGCTGGGGGGCTCTGCCTTGACCTCTGACCACTCACTTTCTCCTGGAGGAGGTTGAGCGGAGCCCTCAGGTGTCAGGCTTCGTTGCTCAGCCATGTGAGCTTTGAATGGCGCATCCAGCCAGCTGCCGCCCACCTGGCCCCAGGATCCAGCCGTGAGGCTAAAGAGGAGTCAGCCGGGTGTCTCTCTCCCGACTGCAGGAGAGAAGCAGGCAAAGCTGGTTGGGAAACCTGTTCTATCCTATGACTTACGATGTGTGAGGACAGACCTCCACGCAAGTCTCCTCATCTTGGGGCCATATGTCACTTATCTGGGGTGGAGCTCAATATATGAGGGCAGAAAAGTCCCCAAGGCCGCTGACTGGATGGGCCATTCAAAGTTGCAAAGACCTGATTCAAGCTTTCTGTGTTGGGCAGAATCCCTGCCCTAGGCCTCAGTTTTCTCATCTGCAAATGGGGTCGGTAGTCAGTCAGTGAACCAGCTGCCTGGTGGTTCGTGCATGTCTAGGAGACGACCTCGCAGTGACTGCGGCCCGGCGCGCAGGTGGCAGGACACTGCCTGGGGGGCATGGCCCACCTGCCTTTTCATGGGGATCCAGCAACATCTAAGCAGACTCTCTGCTTCCTCCCTTGGGGGGAGGGGCACTTGGGCTGCTGTTGTGCTTCAAAACTCTTGACTCTGGAAGGAGAGAGACGGCTTTGCCTGTCCAAACCATGGCGACCTCCCCGAGTGGTCGTCTTCAGCAGCCCGTGGACAGGCGTGTGTCATGGGGACTTGGGGCAGGATCACTTCTGCAGGGGTAGGCTGGGGCTGGAGGGGGCACTGAGGGTCACAGGCAGTTCTGAAGTGTGGCTGGCTGTCCCGTGTCAGGGCTGGGACTTCTGCTGAAGGTGGGTTGGGGGCCCGGTCCATGTTTCTTGGGGCTGTGTCTCCCAACTCACCCAGCCCAGGGGACGCACCTCAGCAGGTAGGGCCAGTCCAGGGCTGCACCCTCTGGTGCCTGCCTTCGGACACCTAGGGAGCAGAGACTTCACTTTTTCTGACCACTCTACTGACACGTGTCCCGAGCGTTCACATTTGTGGGGATTTTTTTTTTTTTAACCAAACCCCGGCAATAACCAGCAAGCATTTGTTCAGTGTTGTGCTGTTCTATTTTGTCTTACGATCTCACTAATGTACAGGATGCTGTCGGCGCCATGTTTATTTATTTGCAGGGTCAGTTAAGCCTGGCTTCTCCGGCATGTTTTTGCTGTCTTTGCGTCCTTGTCAGAGTTCCTTGCCACATACATCAGTGCTGTCACGGTGACATTGTCATTGGCCCGGCCAGAATACCTCCACTATGTAATGACGTGTGTGGCTTCAGTGTCTCTTTCTCTTCTTGTGTTAATGGCTAACCTGTTACACTTGGCTGGTTAGGGATGGGGAGTTTTGTTTTTTAGTGTGTGGGTTTTTTGGTTTTTTGTTGTTTTTTTTTTTAAAGAAAATGATCAGAATTGTAAGTACTGCTGGTGGCCTTCGTGTTCTTTCTTTCGGCGCCAAACTCTGGGAGCAGGAATGTTCCTTGGGGGGATACCCCCAGAGAGGGTTGATCATGCGCCTCTTGGCCCACCTCATTCATTCATTCGCTCACTCACTGAGACAGCCTCCCGGAGGCCAGGGAACGTGGCCATAGCCCCTTCCATGGGTGTCGAGGCTGGGAGGGAGGCAAGGGGGCTCAGCGAGAATTCAGCCGACCCTTTAGAAGGGTCATAGAAGTCAAGACCAAGAAGGAGAGCAGAGAGAATACTCCAGGCCCCAATGTGGGAAGAGTTTTACCACAGGCCAGTACCAGGAGGTCAGGGAGATGACATGCCAGGTTGGGGCTTGGAGGGAAAGCGAGCCCGTTTCCTCACGTCTGTGACGTCCCCGAGTGCCTGGTCCCCGGTGGACAGGCTGAGGCCACACCAGCTCCTCCAGGTACAGCTCTCACCCAGTTCGACAAACTGTCCCAAGCGTCGGTCTTCGCCCGGGGCCCTGCGGACGTGCGGGACGCGGGTGTGCAGGGATGAGGAGAACACTGCAGGATGGTGCAGCGGGGGCGCGCCACCGGCCACAGTAGCTGTCAAGTGAGCCTAGATCAGGGGCACAGACGCACAGAGGCTGGACCCTCAGGTGGGGTCTTGGGCTCCCACTGAGGGGACTTCGACTCTCAGGCATTGGAGCCACCAGATCGGCTTGGGGCAGGGAGTGCCACCTAGAGCCACCTGCAGTGCGCAGAGGCCATCTGAGCACCAAGTCCCAGTGCTGCTGACACTTGTGTAAACACTGTGGTCCCAGTCACAGAGTGCAGCCTGCACTCTGGACCCCAAAGCCAGGCAGGCCCCTGAAAAGAGCACACGGAGGAATTCTGCCCCTCCTTGCAGGCTGTGTGGGTGTGTGGAACTAACAGGCAGCCCGTGGGATTCCACAGCCCTGGTGGGCAGGGGGCGGCCTGCGCGGGGCTGATCGCAGCCTGCTCGCCTCAGCGGCACCCGCGCCCCTGGCAGGTCAGGTGCCTGCGATGGTTCTCCTGCCCCAGCTGTCTAAGCATCCACTCTGCTAGAAGTCCAGGAAGCCTGGCTGAACAAAGATCCCAGGGGCAGCTCTCCAGGGCTCACAAATCACGATGCATTGAGAAGTGTATTAAAATCCTACTTCTGTTGGCAGGGAAGCATTTGGAAAACATAATGGAAGAGACATGAAAGGCTGGGAATCTCATCACAACTGCTCTGTGGCCCTGGCTGGACCCAGCAGCCAGCCCTTCCCCCAACTCGGGGACGAGCTCTCGTTCCACTGCTGCTGATGGAAAAGGGTCTGGACGCTTGAAAGGGCAGTTCTCAGACCAATGCAAACAAAATGGTCCCATGCGTGTGGTCAGAGAAAAGCTATCTGGTCCAGCTCTTCCTTTGAGAGGGTTAGAGTGAGAAGGTAGGGATGAAAGAGAGCTTGAGGCAGAGACGGGAGATGAAGGGATTGCAGGGGAGACAAAACTGTCCACAGGGTAGGGGTGCAGGGGTCACATTCAAGCAACAGCCTACAATTTCTCAGCCACCATGAATGGAAAGGAATGTGTGTGTCTGGAGGAGAAAAGGGGTTAGGGAGGCAAAACTGAGATGCTGGCTGCAGCAGTAGGAGACTTCTTGTGGTCCCCGCATTCTGAGTACATTCTGCCAGGCTCACCACATTTGCCAGGTATGTGTGTGGAACCAGTGAAGGGAGTTGGTGGCGCCAGGCCATCGGCAGTGAGGCAGGCACCTCTGACCTTGCAAAGCCACCCTTGCCCCTGGGATTAGCCAGAACCATCAAGAGAGTGGGTGTGGGCAGGCTGCGGGCACGGGCGTGACATCTGGGCCACCAGGACAGCACGGAAACCAGGGATGTCCCCAGACCCAGGAAGGAACGGGTGCCTCCACCTCAAGAGCCCCTCTGCTCAAGCCCCTTGCCTCTGCCCGGGACCCTTCCACACCTCCCAAACATATGACACTTCGGCCTCTAAAGAGTTCAAAAGTCCTTGTCAGTCTCTGAACAATCTCCAGAGACGGGGACAGTGGGAGTGACCCTAAACCAAAGTCTGGGGCATCATCAGTCCAGCCCCAGGGGACAGAGCAGGTGCTCACGCCAAGAGCTGCTGTCCTCAGGCACATGGGGTGTCTGTAGGCACGAGGTGTCACTGTAGCCTGAGCACCTTCAATCGCCTGCCAGAAACTTCTCCAAATCCCCCTGTGTGCATGCCCATGCCAAACAGGTTGTGCGCTGCCCTTTCCGTTTCTTGGGGTCCAGTTTCAGCAAGACTGAATTCTTTCTCTTCCAGCCAAGGGGTGACTTATTTCTGCAAGTAGGAACTCAACTGTGTGATTAAAGTTAAACACTTCAATCACATCAGATGTCCTGGATGAACAGATTATTTACAAAACTAGTTTCGACCAGTTTGGCTGGAGAAAAAAAAAATCCTCTGGGTGAAAGAGGGGCACAGAAGGCACCAAAAGTTTTCTTTCCCTCATTGACCTTTATGCAGGCTGCTGTGGAATGGCACCTGGTCCCCAGGATGGCTCTCACCCCTCCAGGTGGGGCTCCAGGGCCCAAAGTCAAAGTATGGGTCCCGCCTTCCTGACTCATGGTCCCAGTCCTTCCACGGAAGAGGTAGCCCTGCAAGAGGTAGCCCTGAGCTTCTCGGAGGAGCCTCAACCCTTTGACAGCTCTCGTCCCACTTGAGGCTGGGAAAGGCCTGTGGGAGACACAGGGTGAGACTCGGTCTCCCTGCCCGTGTTGCAGGGAGCAGCTCTGCTTTGCCACACTCACGCCATTGTACAGCCCCACAGCTGATTTCTCTAGTTAGTGAATGTTTTCCTCACATTTCCAAAGGGCCTCTCTCTGTCCTTCTGCATGTCCCTGGACATGACAGCTGTCCCTGCCCCACTCCTCTAGTTGCAGTGACATTTCTCCAGACTTCTGACACCCTCATGGGACAGTCCTGCCTAGTTCTCAAAGGGCCATGGGGAGGAGGCCCTGATTCCCACTCACTCCATTAAAGCTGCCCCCATTTTATTTCTGGGCTTGGCTTAGATCCTCAAGTTGGGCTACAAATTCCACAAGGGAGGGATTATCAAATATAAACTAAATCTGGACCCAGAAAGGAGAGACATTATTGGAAAGGATTATTACAGAGGGAATGGGCCATCGTCATTGGAACAATACCGCTCTGACGTGAGGTGTGCCCCATCTCGGGTTGGAGGCCAGTGGGCAGGGGGGGGGGTGTCTATTTTCTAAGGTGTGGGGGTTGGCTGTGAACAGGATGGAAGGGGCCAGGACAGGGGTTGGGTGGGGCAGCTGGGAGGGTGGAGGGTAGGGAAGGTTCCCCCAGGCCAGCCTGTCCCAGGAGGGGCTGTCTGCCGCTGGCCGGGGCCAAGGGGCCACGTTCAGGAGTCTGGGAAGGGGAGGAGCCGAACCAGAGTCTGGGCCAGGAGACTTTTGTTTTGATGGATCGGTGGGGACAGGAGGTTCAGCTCATCACTGCTGAGGCACAGAGGGAATGTGAGGGTCCGTGTCTGGCCTGGTCACAGGTGAATGGGGGGGTGTCGTCGTGAGTGTCCTGTAGGGGCAGAGGGAGGGGCTTCTCTGCAGTGAGCCCAGTCCAGAAGTGAGGGAGGGGCTCTCAGCCTTCCCTGTTTTCCAGGGTGGCAGGGTTCTCTGAAGGCCAGCACTGTGAGATGAATATGGGTTGTTTGTCCTGCTGTCCCTGGGCACACTGCCCCACTCCAGCCACTAGCCACCTCTCCCACTGCCCCAGCGCCCCCGCTGACAAACACCCTTCATCGGGGCTGTGGACGGGGAGAGCCTGGCCTTGCTTCTCTCTGTCCGTTGTGAGCTCTTGCTGGCCTCAGACCCTGCGGGCAGGTGAGCTGCGCAGGGACCCTGAGTACCTGAGGCAGGAAAAGTGTTTTCCCTTTGTACCCATTTGTGCCTTTGGCATTTTGAATCAGGCATATGATTCACCCATTCAGAAAAACAATATTTTTAAACTATCTTCTAGAAATCAGCAGGCTCTCAGGGATGCTGGCTCTGGTCTGAAATTTGATTTAAATGGGTGGAAATTTATTGTGCCGGGCACATAAGATTTACACACTTTGCTACATAGGTGTCTGAAAGTGTGCCCTAGATGCATTGCGGCCTGGCTTTAGCCCTGATCTTGCTGTGCTTTTCCAAGGTGACTTGCAGACCATGAGTCCCCGCCTATCTGAAGATGGGGGTGTTGCTGTCCCTTCCTCGCTAGCCTTGGGTGTCTGTCTGACGTTGGCCTTGGACCCCTTCATCAGGAGCCACACTGAAGCCTAGCGGTCCCCGGTGTGGGGAGGTAGTGGCAGGGACCAGGGACTCACTAGTGCGGGCAAACAGCCAGGCAGCAGGGGGGCATCCACAGGCCCTGGGAGTTACCTGCCCTCTGAGGGTGGGAGCCTCCAGTACAAGCTGCAGGAGGCATTGGGGCCTGGATGCCTCTGAGAAACCAGGAAGCCCAAGTTTACTAATTTGCTGAAGTCCAGATTCATCGGTTCTGTGCCCCTGCTCTTGTCCTCACCAGGCCTCCCTGGGAGGGAGGGTCAAAGGCATCTTGGGACATTACTGATGTTGCCCCAGAGGAGAGTTCTGGAGCTCCCTTTGGAATGGCCTTCGGGGCTCCACACCCAGGCCCCACCTTGCTGACCCAGGCAGTTTGACCTGGGAGCTTGCCCTGGGCTCTCGCTGAGTGACTCTGGCCCTCGCTGGGCTGCTTCTGGAGGCTGACTCTCCAAGACTCCTTGTGACTGCCAGATGACTAAGATGTATCTCCCGGTGACAATGAGTCTGAACCTCAAACTGGGAGCAGATGGCTACACCAGGATCATCGGGGCCCAGTTTGTTATACAGATGGAGAAACTGAGGCCCAGAGAGAGACAGACAGAAAGATCCTCCGTTCGGGGCAAGACTATATGAGCCATAGATGAGATTAAGTACAAAGCCTGAGCTCCTGTTAGAATTTCACCTTCTTTATCAAAGAGAATGA